TATCTCTATAGCTACGTCTATACCAGTAGTGATACATATCTGTATCTGTTTATGTATCTATCAATGTATGTATGTATGTATGTATCTATCTATCTATCTATTGCGGCTCTGTCTATCTATACATCTGTATCTGTATCTCATTATGTATATCTTGTTTCTGAATCTATATCTATGTCTATGTCTACGTCTCTATCTATATCCATTTCTGCTTCTACCTGCATCTGATTAGCTATCTGTATGTGTATTTTAAAATTTACATCTATATCCATTTATGTATCTATATACATAAGCACATGGTATTGCTTATGTATGTGTTTATATATGTATATATAACCATATACATATATATATATATAGAGATAGATAGATAGATAGATAGATAGATAGCTAGATAGATTGGTCGATAGATAGATAGATAGATAGATAGATAGATAGAGATGTAGATATAGATATAGAGATAGAGATAGAGATCGAGATAGAGATAGATAGATAGATAGATAGATATACACACACCAAATAGATATATACATGTGTGTACGCGTATGCGTACACACAGACACAAATTACAAGGGCATCAATACACATGCATGCATACATACATACATACATGCATGCATACATGCATGCATACAGGTTCACAAACAGGTACAGACATGCATTGTGCAGCTGAGCATTATCGGAGCATGATATTCTTTGCTATTGCTTGCGCGGGTAGGAGTCTATTTGGCGGACGATGCTTCTGTGCTGCGAAGAAAAGACTTTCCATACCACTGAGAATCCGATCTCGAAAGGGTTTAGGGTTTAGGGTTTAGGGAAACAGGTCTGGAGCCAGAGCAGCACAAGCAGCCGAACCGACAACGGCCAAGGTCGAGAAAGGATCGAACACAGGGTGCCAGATGGGAACAGCAAGGCGAACCATTCTTGAAGCTCTTATCTCAGGGATGACATGTTCCCATGAGCAGCATGTTCACACGAGCTCAAGCAGCCCACATCCCCAACTCGAGATGCTTGCCCTAGAAGAGGGACACAGGTCGAACACTTTTGCGGTCTATTGACTCCTGCTTTTGCCTTGGGGGACGCTGAGGGGTTAGCTACGAAGTTTGCTAGGTGTCGCACTTTCCCTTGCAAGGTTCTTGGCTCATTTCTGCGATGTGTTCATGGACATCAACAATGGGAAGATCTACAGATCACTACAGGCGAATTCCGGGTTTCAGTTTCGATTCAGACTTCATTTCAGGATTCGGTTGCCGTGCATGGGTTGCAAATGTGTTCGATGCTCAATGCCGCGGTCGAGGGGCGATGCATCATAAGTTCCGTCATGGCAGTGACCCTGCCAATGGTGCTTGCGCTGTTGATGACGATGATGATGATGGAGAAGCTGATAGCGACGACAACGATTGCGCGGTGACAACGTTGATGATGATGGTGATGATGGTGATGATGATGATGATGGTTATGCTGATGAGGATGATGATGGTGCTGCTCGTGATGCTGATGAAGATGATGAATGATGACACTGATGAAGGTGTTATGATGCTGGTGCGCTGTTGACGCTGATTGCAGTGATTTTGACATTGATGGTGCTGCGATGCTGGTGGGGGAAATAATGTCAGTGATGCTGGTGGTGCTTGGGTTGTTGAGTGCGACGCGTGCGTTTGGTCGGGATGGGGAACAGTAATCATGCCGGCTGCTGTTGTTGCTGTTGTTGCTGCAGCGGCTGCTGCTGCTTCTGCTGCTGCCGCTACCGCTGCCGTTAATTACCGTTGCTGATGATGTTGTTGGTGTAGTTGTTGCCGTCGTTGTTGCTGTGGTTGAGTTTGTCCTTGTTGTGATCAGTGTCGCTGAGGTTGTTGCTGTCGTCGTCGTCGTCGTCGTAGTAGTAGTAGTAGTAGTAGTAGCAGCAGCAGTAGCAGCAGTAGCAGCAGTAGCAGTAGCAGTAGCAGTAGCAGCAGTAGTAGTTAGCAGGAGTAGGAGTAGCAAGAGTAGTAGTAGTAGTAGTAGTAGTAGTAGTTGTAGTTGTAGTTGTAGTTGTAGTTGTAGTTGTAGTTGTAGTCGTCGTCGTCGTCGCAGCAGCAGCAGCAGCAGCAGTAGCAGTAGGACGGTGGTGGCAGTGGTGGTGATGGTCGTGGTGGTGGTGGTGACTGATGACGGTGGTGGTGATGGTCGTGGTGGTGGTGGTGGTGGCGGCGGCGGCGGCGGCGGTGGTGGTGGTGGTGGTGATGGTGCGGTGCGTGGTTACCTGGTTTGTTCTCTCTTCTACTATGACAGCAAGGCCAAAGTTCAGCATGACTTCACAACCCCCCATGCACAATGTTAGTGGTATGGCATGTGGTATGATCGGAAGACCTGAATATGTACGACTAATCCTCCTTTTGTGGTCATTGCCACTGTGTGGGTGCCTTACCTAAACCTTATTCATCACTGGGGTCAGTGTCATCGTCTCCTTCGTTGCCATCATCGTCGTCATCATCATCACCACCACCATCATCATCATCATCATCGCCAGCACTATCCTCCCCTACGGTGATGCAGTCGATGTTGATGACATGGCTCGTCGTCATCTGGTTAGTCGGAGACTCTACGAGAGCGAGCCTCGGTGATGTATTTTCATTTCCGAACTCAAATTCCCAGGATCGACTCAAAACCAAGTCATGCAACTTCAGCCAGACATCTGCCCCTACATCCCGAAAGCCTTAGCCACCCCCCCCCAGGCCCTTTACCTGACAACAAGTCCGACCCCCAATAAAAACCATCAGATCATTCTCCTGGGCCTCGAGAAGCTTGCGGCCGAGAAGTCCTCCTTGCTTGGGCCCACAGAGCAGGCCCGGCCATGCGGCGGGCGTCGGGTTCCTGTGTTTCTTCAGGGTTTAGGGTTTAGGGTTTCGGGTTTAGGGTTTAGGGTTAAGGTTGGATCACTGCGACGCCTTAAGAGTTTCATTGCTGTTATTTCCTCTCATCACCATGATTCTCATTGCTTCATCATTCTAGTGGCGGTTCAGGGTATGTGGCGGAAGGGCTTGGGGTCTCGAAGTCAACATAGAGAGTTTGGGGCTGGCTAAATGTTGATGGAAGGGGTTGGCGTCTCTTGGACGAAGAAAGTTACGAAAGGATTGGGGCAGATGCGAGCGTAGGTTCAGTCCGGGATGTACGGTTTGTCTCTCATGGGGCTGTCGAGTTTGAGCCCAGGGCCTAGGTTTTAACCGCGAGGACGACGAGCTACAACTGCAATTACTTGCGCTTCCCCCGGCCCCATTTCTACTATACGACATGGTTGGGAAAAGCCACGCCGAGAACCCTACAGTTCAGTTTCCTCAACCCTGGCCATCCTAGTTGAGGGATGAAGGGTTGATGTGCTGGGGAAGCGGATCGAGGGTCCCCGGTTCTTGTACACTGCTGACACGTCGGCCTCTGCCTCTTTGTGAACCACAACTAAAGTTCCAGAACATCCCCGCTTGCAGCCAGGAAGCCGTGAAGAAGGTGACAGCACTTTTCGACTCCAGCGCCGACCTCGGCCACTGTCGGTTCAACAGGGTAGCATAGAACACAGGACCACGGTCAGAATGACCGCGCGGGTGTCAGAGCGAATGAGCAGCGATAAGAGCCATACATTCAGAGCCCTCCTCGCAAAGGTGCTGAGTGATCATTGAGATTCCGTCTTGAAGTCTCCCGACCAGTGGCAATGTACCCAAGCCCCATGCCCTTGACAGAGGAAAAATGCAAGTCGATTTCGGCTTTGTCCTGGCTTTGTCCTGCTTCTTAACTTGAGAGCACGTGAAGCTCGCGGTCCCACACCTCAGCTACCTCAGATGTACAAAGCCTTTTGTGGCTGCTTTGGGGTCTCAGAGGCTTGGACCTTTTCCGGAAGTACGACCGGACGAGGGGCGAGGCGGCCAGCAAAGAGTTCGATCCAGTAGCATATGACCGTAAATCCAGACATGATCAACTCTGAATTCAGGGCTTGGGGCGTATGGTTAGGGACGTCAGGTCGAGAGACTTGCTTGGAGAAAAGTTCGGATTGAAGATGGCAAGGTGTTCAGGTTGCAGCTGGAGGTTAATATAATTGGCTTTGAAATCCACCGTTTATTCTTCGACGATGATGGTCCCCAACACCCTGTTGAAAGCATTAAGGCTTATAAGTATTGAGGCCCCTGCCCCGTAGGCTGAACAGAGAAGCTGAGCCCCCGACACTTTCAACCTTGTTCGCCTGAGCTCCAAAGACCTAAGGTTTAGGGTTTAGGGTTCTAAGTCCTAAGTTGGGGTGTCAAGACTTTAGATGCTCCAGCCTGAGGCTTGACATGACCAGGGCCTGCCCACCCAAACCTTTTTTGGCAGGACCTTGCTATTCTCCTTCCCCTGCCTGGCACCGGCTTTGCTAGAAGGGATGTCTGTGGTGCCATGCTGTCGGAGTGCAAGGTGAAAGCTTCGATCTGATGTGCGATTCAAGGTTAACATACCTAGCTCACAAATATTTAGCCCCAAGACCCTTAAGACACCGCCCTAAACCCTAACAGCCAAAGCTTCAGCCCTAGGCAGATAGCCTTTTTATTACCCACATTCGTTGTAAGCTAAACGAGCCTCCGAACGTCAGCGACACAACCGACCGGCGATGTTCGTCCGACTGTCTTACCCCACAGTGGAGCAACAACCGCGGAAGGCTTCACCCGCTTCGCAAGAGGTAGCTGCGAGAATTGGGGAATGGTCAAACACTGTAAACCCACTAAGTGCCCTGAACCTGCAGGGCACACAATGCCGTGATGCTTCAATACATGTAGGAAGCCATCCCGAAAACTTCGCGTCAATACACCCACGGTCACAGCTTTGTTTAGGAGGAAGCTAGCCTAGAATCCGAAAGAAAACATGTATTCAAGCATCACTGCAACCCAAGTGCATCTGTCGGCTGTTTGTTTAGTGCCCCATCGCCCTTTGTCTTGACAGAGAAACCGCGTATCCGGGAAGCTAACGTACATCGTCGCTAACAGCACACCCTCTTAGCTTCACAGATGGGGCAACTTGGGGGCAACCAGGTCGACCCGTATGATGACTATGCGGAGATGCCAGGACTGCTGCCTTTTCTGAAGAGGCCCGCGGTTTGGGTGAAGGCCCAAGCTTCCGACCTAAGGTCTTAAGGTTCAGGTCACATTAAGGATGTTTTAGGGGGCTTAAGGGCGAGAACTTGGGAAGGGATTCGGTTTTGGGTCCGGTGGTCCAGGATTTATGGAGCCTTTCGAGGGAGCTGCTACCAAATAAGGCCCGCTTGAGATAGTCATGGGTAGCCTCGTTGTAGCACTTCCAAGTGTAGGACTCGCCAGCAGTGATCCCGTGGTCCGACTTTACAGTCCTCATGTTTTGAGGAAGGAGCAATCGAAGCCAGCGCCGAATTCCTAAACCCAAGCCTCGAATCCTGGCAGATTGCGCCGACTGCTCTCTAATCTCAATGTTGGGGACAGCGCGCTCCTGCCCGGCGGGTGGGGATGTGGCCGCTAGCCTCAGACCTGGCGTCAAGCTCTCACTTCAAGATTTGGCTTCCGGAAATGCAGGGTTGAGGGTTCGGGGAAGTATTTCTGAAAGACCTGAGAGGATCTAGGACTTCGAGGTCGCGGGGCAGTAGCCTTGGACACTAAAGCCAACCCCGGATGCTCACGGTCATCATACGATGACGACCATGAGCAGTTTGACAGTTTCAGAGTGAGCATAATCGTAGCAATGAGCGGCGAGATTGTCGGCAACCGCCGATGTCAACAGCAGTATGAGCATGTGGTAGCCATCGTCTTTGGATTTCCGGTAGGCGATACCCGACATTATTTTTCCAAGCATGCCGAGACAGCACTGCGATGAGTAACGAAGTGACAATCCAATCATGATACTAGACATGCAAGGAACAAGAGTAGCAGATACTATGACAGTCACCCACTCCTAGCCGGATGCTTGAATTACTCATGCTCCTCAATCAAAGGTCCCAGTGTCATGCAGATTCTACGCTGTGCATAGGACAGGCGCCCAAAAGTAGTCACTGAGGGCCTACCCGTTCAAGACTTGAAGTTCAGTAGTGAGTCAACTCATGTCCTTTCTTTGGGGATTTGCTTCTTGAGGTGCCTTCGTCTTGTGATCGCCAGAAGCCCCCCAAATTTGAACTTACATTCCTACTAGGACCCCCTTTGGTCCACCCGAATAAAGCGATGGGGAAGTTGCTGTGCCAAGGCGACTTCATGGCACGACAGTACATTTGCTTTGCCGCCTGCTTGCAAGTGATTGCGTGTTTTGCACCATGACCTACGGTCCTAGCGTTTCTGAAACTAGTACACCAGGAACCCTTTTAACCCTAAACCCAGGAACCCTAAACCCTAAACCCTAAACCCTGAACCCTAAACCGTGAACCCTAAACCCTAAACCCTAAACCCTTGAAAGATGCGTCGTCGGTTCATAACGCTTGGGCCCATTAATGTAGGGGCCTGAATAATTAGAATAGGGGGTTTTGGGCTCCTTTATAGTATTCTGATAATGAGGAACCCTCCAAAATAGTTTTGGTAATTATTGAGGCTCATATATTATACTTTCAGGATTCGCTCCACCTGCTGCCTCGTGACGTCCCAACTCTTGTTTCTGCGTCTCTAACGGTCATGGGTCCCGAATATCCTTCACCGGGGAAGCTCCCTATTCCGTGAACGCCCCTTGCAAAGTCACGCAAGAAAGCATTTGGTCTTGCGGTCCGAACCCCAAGGCAGGGGCATTCGCACGCAATTCCCTTCCGAAGCCGAGAACTGAAAGCCCGTTCATTGATGTTCACACCTGTTCCGAAATCCGACAGCAGATCTGAGGTGATGGCTGCCCGGTTGCATGCGAGGAACCAGCAAAACAGCAAGCCGCAAGGCCATACTTCGAAGCTTCAGCAAGTTCTCAACATGGGTTCAGGGCCTAGGGTCTAGCTTAACATTTCCCACCACGACATCAAGTGCGAGTTTTTCCAAGGATCCAGAGCCGACTCTTGTAAGGACCTAACATGGAGCAGTCCTGGACGAAGGTTCTTTTTTTCACGGCCCCTCAGTAGTGCTCGAGCATGTGCTAATGTAGCGGAAGGGTACACAAGGCAGCACAATGGAAGCCATCATGCAGTTATGGTTCACTTTATTACAGTCTGTAGTCGAGTGCAGATTCATTTCGAGCCAAGGAGCGCGTGGGCGAGGACAATTATCGAATCGCGGTCTTCGGCTTTGGGCCAAGTCGAGAGTACCATCCGAAGAGTCCTGGCTACTTTCGGGGGTGCAGTAAATCTTGAGAACGGTTTCGAGCAAGCTTGGAAGACACTGCAGAAACTGCATTGTCTGCATTGCAACGGTCACTTGCAGAAGGTTTCGAGGTCAAGGTTTCTGTCGCGGGCAGAGGTGTTTCTACCCGGAGTACAGACAAAAGCCTCCTGCATGTAAGCACCAGACACGGACAAGTTGCTGCATGCCTGATTTGTGAGGACTGCGGCGATGCCTCCGAAGATCAAGTTCCGTCCCATCGTCTTGGAGAATCTTCCAAGGCATGAGATTCACGACGAGTACTTTGTACCCTCCAGTTGTTTTGACAGAGCGACGTGTGGAAGGCGCAGCGAAATTGAAAAAATAATTGCAATGTTTGCACACGGTCCTGGAGTGGTGCAAACAACGAATCACTCGGCAGGGACGACGTTTTCAGCATTCCTTCTTGAACTGGCGTGCGCGAACAGTACGGCTGGCGCGTTGTAATGGTACAGCAGTGCAGTCATTTGATAGAGTTCCCGCGTGCTAAAATGAAAGAGTAAGTTTTCCGACAGTAGAAGACTGGGCGAATGCAGAATCGACATTTCCCTCTCCAGCAAAGGAAAGATGTACGGGGTACGGGGGTAGAAATCGGATGAGAGACTGAACTGCTCATGCGGCACATAGGACAACCGAACTAGAACGACGAAGACACGGGACAAGAAAGCACTTGTTCACTAATCGAGGACTCGATGCGAATGCATGAAGGGTCATTCGAGTAAGTCCTTTTGCAAAAAGAAGCAATAGTGCAACAGAGCATCGTGCAACGGTACCCTAAAGCTTTAACCAGGCGCAAAGCACTGGACGAAGCATGGTGGGCCTTGCTCATCGAGACTGGGCTTTTCCAGCAGGTTTCTAGAGTTGGGACGGTCTTTGATCTACCGCGAAGTGGTCTATGGCAATCTGCAGTGGTGACCTCCGGAAACCACGTGCTCGCGAGTTTTAGATCGCTGGAGCCTGCAAGGAATGGGTAGTCTTCAGCAGAGGGTCGGTGCTGTACAGGCGGGAAGGGCATCCGTAAACATGTACGGTATCTGCATGTGGATTTACAGACTTGCATACCTGCACATGTGTACTTGTACAGTTCATGGACCCATATAGTCATATAGTTCTCACAGTGGGAAAGTCTTGAGTCGAGTTCAGCCACTTCACTTGCACTGGGCTTTGACTTCGAAGCTGCGTAACCGAGTTCAGCCATTGTCTGCAATGTTGGGATTGTTGGTTGCCGTAAGCAGTGTGCAGAAATGAAAACGTGGTGTAGTGGCCACAGCAGCAGCGGCAGTAGCAGCGGCAGCGGCAGCAGCAGCAGACACATCAAACAGAGTAGTCAGTGTTCCAATCAGGGGGAGTCGGTACAGGAAACGCAGCCCGCCCCGATGATAGTTGTGGTTGGAACGAGTATGGCGAACAACACGCAACGGTTTCAAGGACTTCAACAAAATTCGGAGCCGACAGGGGCCTCGCGGAGGGTACTGTAAGAGCCTGAGTTCACCCGGGCAGGCGGCCCAGGCATAGAGCACCGCTGCCTGAACTCCAAAGCCCTTCAGCCCTGAGATGTCCCGATCCTAAGGCGACAAACTTGCCGGATGTGAACGAGCCCGTCGGCTCAAGCTGGCCATGACCAGGGAGTTGTGTAGGTATCCCTGAGCCCCAAAGCTCCGAAACCCCCCCTCTTCGAGGAAGCTCTCTGTCAGCTTTTCTTCGGGTCCTGGGCTCTCCGAGGTACAATCTGATCTAGAGCCCCGGTAAGGTCCCTTCATGTTCCGGATCGTAGAATTGGGTCTTTAGACGTATGTGAGAGGACGGTCAAAGAAGGTGGCAGAGAGAAACACATCACTGATCGTTCGAGCTCTTCCCGTCTGAAAGACGCAGCCGGGGGCTGTGACAAGTTTGCGCCCTCTTTGAACATCCTCCAGCTAACAGGCCGTCTCAACCGATGGTAAGCCTGGCTTAGAAGACTCGCCCGTTTGAGGCAAAAGACAAGCCCGCAGTTGACCTACGACTTTTTCCTGCCATTTATGGCCTCTGCTCCACTGGAGCAAGTCCGTGAGGCGCGGGATTCCGAAGCTCCATGCTCCAAGTTGCGACCTGCGCTGCGGCATGAGTGTGTATTTCGGTCTGAAGGCCTCGGAGAAGAAGGAAGAGGGTGAGGATCCGGCGTACGACTGGCGATCACCAGTGCCTCTGCCGTGCAATCACTGTAGTAGTCTTGCTCGTGCAAAGTGCATAGCCTTCATGACTCGGTGGAAGACGTTCCAGTGAAGCCAAGGTCTACGGACGCTCTCGGAACAATTTTCACCGATGCTTGCTGGATGCCATGCACTATCTGCTTCGAAGGTCCATGCAGTAAAGGGGAGCCTTCAGTAGCCTTAAACGCACCCTGTCTCATCCTCAACACGTGCCAGGTCTGGCCTCACGAAGCCGCGGACGAAGCTGGTGAAGTTCTGTCTGAGGAGATGCTGCATGATGCCCGAAGCTCGCAAACTACCCAGTCTAGGCTAGCGTGCAGGATTGCTCCGGTACCCCCTTCTTGAGTGAACCTGTGAACTGTCGCGGGATGATCAGAAGATCCGACACCTGAAGACCCCCTTAGACCCAAGCTGTCAACCCCGATAAGTCGCTTTCCCTGAAGTAGGAGCTCGCTGCTGGAGCTAGCGGCCGGCGATGTGAAGGCGAGTGGAAATCAGCAGTGCTTGATTGATCTCTCTTACTGACCGTGGCTAGGCCGGCTAGGCAGGGCCGCGATGCTGAACTCGCCACAGTAGTCATATCCGTCGTGATCAGACGCTGAATCAGAGCCCTGTCCTCAACCGTAGCAAGCATAGCAGCAGCGGCAGCGGCGACAGCAGCGATTGCAGCGGCACAGTCTGGCGGACTGTTTTGGGTGGCAGTAGCACAGTGAAGCCGAGACCCTAACACGTTGGACATATCCATTGTTTCGTGCAGTAAAGGTGGTTCCGTGCTTGCTACTAGTAACATGATGGAGACAGCCTTGAGATGTGACTGGCAAGGCCGTGCTGGAGTTGAGCACAGCTGATCGGACGCTGGTAAGGATGCTTTGCCGCCAGCTGGCGTTCACGGCCGCCAAGCTATCCACGCAAAAGGAGGCAGCATTTTCAATATATTATACATTATATTGTATGATATTATATTATATTATGTTTTATGATATCATATCATATTATATTATATGATATTATGATGTAGTGGCTGCATCTCTGGGTCAGGGCCTTCGGTCCTCAAGCTAAGACTCTCAAGGTCGGGGTTTAGGGTTCAGGGCACAACGAGATTTCGGTGGAGGTCGGAACTGCAAAGCAGTGACACCAACACCCGATTCTGACTTCTAAGGCCCCTGCAAAGCAAAACCTACAAGGTCCCTAGTATACTAATGCTATAAATCCTGCATGACCTTGAGGACCCTAACCTATGGGAGTTATGTATGGAATTTATTCCTTATTCTGGGTAACGCAGGACTTATGTCCTCAACCGTATTATTATTATAATTATTATTAATACTATTATTATTATTACTATATAATAATAATAGTAATAACAATAATAATAATAATAATTGTAATTATTAAAATCATTATTGCTATTATTATTATTATTGCTACTATTATTATTACATTCTTAGTCTTATTATTATCATCCAGGGAGGCTCCCTGTGTTAGCTGCCAGGGGGGTCGTCCACTCCTCGGCCTCGAAGCCCTCAGCGCCGTGCGGAAGCAAGTAGACGAGGCCCGGGGTTGGGAAGCTCGGGCTCGGGTTTAGGGTTTAGGGTTTAGGGTTTAGGGTTTAGGGTTTAGGGTTTAGGGTTTAGGAAAGGCCTTGTAACTTTTGCTTGTAAAGACGCGTTTAGTGGTGCACTATAGTATTTCAGGGGTTTTGTAGATTTCGAGCGGTTTGTTGACAGCATCTCTAGGGCTTTGGGGAACTCGAGTCTCGGGTTGAGGGTTGCCCGTAATGTCATAGCTGTGGTGATGGCTGCTGTTGGACGTAAGGCCCACGAGAGTAAACCAAACCAGCAGGTCCATGATAGCTGTGATGAGAGTTCACAGCCACTGCAGTTGCTTCGACTCGGGCCATCCCATTAAGGCCTGAACCCAAAACCATAAAGCCTAGAACTCATAAGCCCTAAAGCCTCAAGCCCGAAAGCCAGGCATCCCCGACCCAAAAAAGCAGCGTAAGATGCGAGTAGGATAGAAGTGAGAGCAAGACAGATAGTAATTGACACATACATAACAGAAGAAGGAACAACACTTAATTGAAAAATAGCAGCGGAAGGAACAACACCGACTGAACTGGGCTGGTAAGGCTTAGGACACTTGCAGTGCACAACATCAGAAAGCTACCCATGGATTATGAGTAAAACAATGGTTGCTCTTGCCCCCAATGGCCAAGGGCAAAACGAATGACGGCGGGAAAGTACTGACACATAGAGCACATTAAACTTATAGTTCTGATTGAGGATAGGCACACTGCTGCTAAGAACGACACTGACGCATGTTCCGTAATCTTCTAGCAGTCATAATTGAGTCATAATCACAGCAATACTAGGGATCGATCGATCTTGATTGCAATGGCGATTCTAAACCCTAAACCCTAAACCCTAAAACCCTAGCAGCTAAGAAAGCTCCCCACAGCCCTGGAGTTGAGAAGCCTTTCATCCCCGAAGCCCCGAGTAAGGGCTGAATCGGTTCAGGGTCTTCCGGGGGGGGGGGGTGTTCGGGCATAGGGTTTATAAGCTTTAAGGTCGGAGTTTTGGGATTTTATTTTTGGGTGTAGAACTCGGAGGGTCTATATAGTAACACAGGAGAAGTTTCGAGGTGGTCGGACAAGTCCAGAAGTTGAGCCCGCCTACCCTAAGCCCTAAACCCTAAAGCCCTAAACCCTAAACCCTATAAGCCCTATAAACCCCAAAACCCTAAAACCCTAAATTCAGAGTCGCCCGGAAGCCTGGTAGCTGGGCAGGTGGAAGCAAAGCTGCTGCAGAAGACCAGCAGTGAGGAGTCTGTCGTTGGGAGGGTTTCTGATGGTTTACTTATAGAGGGTTTAGGGTTTAGGGTTTAGGGTTTAGGGTTTAGGCAGGGTTATATCAAGTATAGTATGCCAAAGTCGTGACAGCAAGAATCTCACGCACTTCTGAATGGCCCTGGCTGAGGTACAGTGTCTGTAGCCAAACATGCTTTCATTGCACAGCTAGGCGACGCCAGACGTTGGGAGAGTTTGATAAGTTTGGAATTCTCCGTCTTGGCTCACTGCGTGGATCAGCCAGCTCAGCAAGAGTCGTAC